GCCGCACTCTCCTGATTTTCCGTGGAGTTCTTATACAGTCCTTCTTCCGGGTTGATGTGTAGTACTCTGCGTATTCTTCTTTTGTGTTTAGGTGGTCATAGTCCACCTCCCGGGGTCTGAAGATGAAGGTTAGTAATTTTCCTTTGTCCGATTCCTGGAATTTTTAGGTTCAATCTGCTGAGTTCCTGGAATCCTAGGTTTACTGAGCGGATAAGCTGATACTGTGTTATCAATCATAGCAACCCCCCCACCCATATTAACAGTTTACTAAACAGATAAACAAATGTTTGTGAAACCTATTGTCTTTTGGTTTCATCTTCCTTATCCTTTAAAGTCTGGAAATTTACTTAAACAAACTAGAGATGCTGCAACAGTCTTACTGGAATTACTTTGTCAGCTTTGATGAACAAACTTAAAGTTTTAACCCATTACATTAACTTTTACTATTCGCTTTCCTTCTAAACTTTCTGGGTTTAGCTAAAAGCTTTCTCTACAGCCGCCTCTTCTTCTTCAGGAAAAAACCTTCTCGTTAGCAGCAAACAAAACACACAAAAGAAAAAACCAAAAAACTTCTTACTTAAGAAAAACAAACCGCTTTGTGAGGTTTGGAGAGTCAGCAGTCTCTGCTTTGATTTTATCTTTTAGTGCTGGCCCCCTCCCGCTCTTTTCACAGCCCTGCTGTCATTGCCGTCCTTCCCTCCGGCGCTGGCCGGAGCAGGGGAGAACAGCCACGGGCATGGGGACCCTGGGGGCTGCCTTGGGTTCGTTTTGCCCTCTCTCTCTCTTCTCTCTCTTTCTCTTTCCTTCTCTCTCTCGGCCCACTTACCGGGCCGACGCTGCCATCCTGGACTCGGGACCCCGTCAGTCTGGGAGCCCCCCCGGCAGTTCCGCCACGGAGCCAGCCCGCTCCTGGCCGGCAAACCTGTGTCCTCTGCTGCCAGCACCACCGCCGGGACACCTCTGTGGATCGGTCCCTGCCGCAGCCCCCGAGACCCCGCCGCTCGTAAGGAGCAGTCAGACACCTCTCAGCCTTGACAACCCCAAACTTGGTATCCCCAGGTGCTCCTGACATTCTTTTTCTTTCTCTAGTCAACTTAGCCTCTTTTCCTTTCAAGCAGGGCCTGTTCTGCTAAGGCTTTTCCGGACCCCAGTGTGGCATTGAATAACCTTAACAACCATGTGTTAAGATAGTTCTCTGCCTTTCGTGCAAAAACCTTCATTCACACTTCTACTCTCTTCTAGCACCAAGATGTCATCACTT